CTGAATCAACTTACAACGTCGAATGAGTCAATGTGTTACATGTATACCCTTGGGATGCATAAAATCTCTACAATTTTCGTAGTTCTTGTTTGGTAAGTTGTATATCAAATTTCCTAGTACATAGATAACTTCCTTGCTTCCATTGTTTTGAGTATGAAGTTCGTTCAACATCTCACAATTACAATGTTTAGTATAAGTTAAAGAATTGTTTTATATACATGAAACGTAAAGTCGATAGATGATGCGTTAGATAAATACATACAATGTAGGAAGTGTGTAGTGAACAAACGTGGACGATATATGATAGGTATATTATTCGTGGAATATAATTATTTACTTTATCCGTAAAAAAAAATATAAAAAAATAAGATGATATTTTACCCTATATCCTGTAGCTTGTTGAATCATAACATCATCACGAGGAGGTCGGTAATTTGTGAAATTGACTCCGTGTTAATTTCGATTTCAAGATGATTTTTGTTTTATTACATTATGCCTTCCATAACTAGCCGGCCGAAGGGATATACGTAAACATCAGCATATGATATAAGCAATAACTGGTTTTCCTCTTACGTAGTTTTAATTAAGTATTGTTTCCCGGTGATTGTTTATTTTTTTAATTGATAATTGTTCATATTTCTGTCTTAGTAAAGTGGTTGATATCCTCAAAAAAGACAAATTCCTTTGCCTGCGTTATCAATATAATTATTTGCTTCAGTATGATATGTGTGCCATAACGCTTGTGGTGTAATAACGTGATGTGTGGTATATTTACGTGACGTATATATGGTATAACCCCGTGATAAGTGGTTTATACACGAGGCGTGTGATATAACCCCGTGTTATATGAAATTGTCACGAGACGTGTGGTATAACCACGTGATGCGCGGTATTAACACGCTTCGTGTGGTATAACCACGTGTTGTGTGGTATATAAACGAAACGTGTGGTATAACCACGTGATGTGTGGTATTTACACGAGACATGTGGTATAATCACGTGATGTGTGGTATATAATCGAGACGTATGACATAACCACGAGACGTGTGATATAACCAGGTTACCTGTGGTTTTTACACGAGACATGTGGTATAACCAGGTTATCTGTGGTTTTTACACGAGACATGTGGTATAACCACGTGATGTGTGGTATATAAACGAGAAGTGTGGTGTTACACATGATGTTTGATGTATATACGTCAGACGTTTTGGTATTATGTATTACACGTGTAGCTCAATAATGGTTCATTTGTTTACATATGACATATGATTTATATATTTATTATCTGTCATCAGGCTTTCAAAACTGGATTTTCGAAAAAAATCCGTTTACATTAGTTTCATTATATTGTCTTGATTAAAAAATATTTCGTAACTCTGTCCGTAAACAACTCCTATGTTACAATCAATATTGTCCTTGTTTGAATTTATGTCTTCGTGTGAGACAGGAAATGGACTTCGATGTTGTCAAGCCTAAATGTTTTTTTCAGTATAAATTATCACTAGGGAAATAAATACTTTCTGATAAACATTTATGCAGTTCATTTCGTTCAACCCGCAATTTCCTTCCTTTTTTATCTTTTTATAATCAGTCATTGATTTACAAAAGAACTCGTTCTCCGAACATTACTGTTAGGGGTTTGCATCATTATTAACGCTGATTTTTATTAACAGACCTTTAACTACCTAATAATGCCTTTGACATCTGACGGTCACACTGACAAAAATGAGTTTCAAAAGATGTCAGTTTATGTAGAATAGGGACAAGTTTCATTGTAGCAATAAAGATTTCATTGGGAAATAGGCTACTTTCTAGTGTGATGTGATAGCCAATGTTTGTGATAATGTTCGTAAATGTGTCTTGTTGTTTTGTTGTTACTACCATTGTCATCCAAATAAAGAAATGAAATTACTTGGATTTGACCTAAATTTACACAACGGATATTGTCGATCAAACATAAGACGCTTACCCTTCCGGAACGCATGGTCTTATTTTATTATCCCAGTACTTCATTAAGAGTTTCTGTGTATTTTTTTTTATTTGTTCATAGTTTGCCCTTGTTTTAGCGATTATGAGTACGAAATATAGTTTCGGTGACACTCGATAATCTTCGGAGTTTTTGTTCACTCTTTTCTTGATAAATCTAACGCCAACATATTTTGACGACCTTTTACCGACACACGTGCTTTTATTATTTTTCACTTGACTTATAAACTGTGTAATATTAAGATTAATATAATACTTGGCCTTGTGATATCTCCAAATAACATTAATTTGATGCAAATCTTGTAGTATCGGGAAAATTAATTGCAGTCCAGTTTGATATAACAAGCCGCTTGCATATATAAGATTTTACTCCTTTAATTTCAAAAGAGCATCGAATACAAAACACCTACGTGATTCCCTGTTTTATTAACATGCATGTAGAAAATAGATTTATCTATATTTTTGCCGGTATCATTTATTTACAATTACTCAAACATTTTGATTATTGCAAAAATGTATCCCATTTATCATATCATAACCGTTTTCTGACATCAGTGTCAAATTGCATTTGAAAACAAATAGATATCAGTAAAAAAAAATCTGTACATTTTCCATCACACTCTTCAGTATATAAACCTGTTGCATTATGCTGTTACTGGAGAATTAAAATAAATGAAATGGATTGCAGTAATCAAGGATAACGCTATATGAATAAGTTGATTAAAGGATTTTCAATCATCCAATACCGCGTATATATTAGCCGATTTATTCTAAAGATGTTTTAAATTGCTTGCCGCCACGTGTCAACACGACCAAACTTCCATTTTTTCTTACGATAGTTTGCATATATTTGCCAATACCACTTAATAGTCAGTCGAGATTGGCATTTGATAATGCTGTCGCTAACACACCGTACTATAGAAATTGTGCTTATGATATAAACCTAATTGTTTAGCACTTCCCAACATGCGACTATGACAACAGCCGTAGCAATGCGTAAAGTAGCTTTTATAATTTTAGAGTTTCGTTTTGAAATGTTATGTGGATCAATATGAAACAAAAGGCGTGTTATAGGATTTAATATATCAAAACACGAATCAAAACGATATTAACTAAAAAATGTATAAAATAAAATCAGCTGATAATGAAGATGCTGAAATTAGGCTCTAGAATGCTACAAGTATATTTCTAGAATCTGTAGAGATCGATAAACTGTGTAGTTATATTTGATAGCTCTCATGGTAATTGTTCAGTTAACAGCAATTAATGTACCTTGGGAAGTTTCTAGTAGGTTAAACATTGGTTTCCTTTGTTATCTAATTGCTGTTCATACAGTAGCAACGTTCCAATTTTTAGCTCAAAACTACACGGTCAGAACTTACATAAAACCTATTGTACAAACATAGACCTCACGAAGAGTCGTTATGCTTTATCAAAAACATTAGCTTGTTTTTCAATACATTAGGTTTATCAAAATGTCATAATGATATATGAATGAAGTCGTGGATGCTTTTGTGACAACCCAAACATATCATGATTATGGATTAGACATTACAATTGAGTGATTTATAATTATAATTGGAGGTTCTAATATACCGCTTTATTACAACCTAGTTCGTAGGTCGTCTCAAAGCGGTTCACAAATTATCATCCGTGGTTATAGGGCCTTTGCAATCAGCCAACATCTTTCTCAACTCCCTTGGGAGCATACAGCCGATATCACACAATGCCACATCATTGAAAATGGGTCACGTTTTCCTTCACGAGGACAGTACCTTCTAACTAAAACATCAATTTTTCTTAAAAGAAGTGGGTATCAACAACAAATTGAATTTAAAGAAACGTCAGATCACTTCGCCATGAGACGATGGCTTTGTAAAATATTTGTTTTTGACCTTTTAAGTAAGAATATGTTGTTAGACTGTTTTTTATACTTGCCACACTTATATTACGACTTTCAAGTATCATCATACACAAATGTAATCTGCATACGGTAGTATAATATCGACCGATTCAAAATATTCGGACTACCGTCAGGGTTTATAATAGCTGACAACATCCACAACAAAGTGTATGTATAAGAGAAGTAGATAAGACAACATAAGAACACTGAAACTGTAATTTATACCAGCAATCGATAAAGCTATGAGATAAAAAGGATCAAAGGGAACCTCTCCACATATATACTCTTGACAAGAATAACGAGAATAAGACCAGGAGTCCCGGAAAGACAAGCGTCGTCCGCATCATAGACGACAGTCTCAAATCGATAAAACTATGATATAAAAAGGATCAAAGAGAACCTCTTCACATAGATACTCTTGACAAGAATAACGAGAATAAGACCAGGAGTTCCGGAAAGACAAGCGTCGTCCGCTTCATAGACGACAGTCTCATGTAAGTTAAGGTCAATCTAAGTAATGTCACGCCATCATAGCTGTAAATATTGTACATTTTATCATACATTGTATCTTGACCATATGTAAGATGAGCTTCATGCTCAATAGGTTATCAAGAATAAAGAAAGCCTTTATTATTATTAATATTATTATATATTATTATTATTTGTCGTAGCGACTATTATAGCAATGATCAGTGATGAGCATAAAAATACCGACCTTCAAATTACTTATATAAATATATTTCCTAATGAAGTCATGATGGTGACCATAACATTTGTAAACAGTCTTCATTTACCTGCAGATTTGAATACTTTTTTTGTAAAGATAGAGGTCTAAGGTGGTTGGGGCGGTGGAGGAGGGGGTTGGAAGATCACGTTTGCCTCCTCTGTGTCGCAAAGACAAAGGCAGAAAGGAAACAATACGATTCCGCAATATATACCATATTTGTCTTACAGCACTTCAATTGATTCATATCGCCCCTTAACCTTACAAGGGGACAACAATGGACGAAGACTATTGATCCTGTTTAGTATATGTGACAGTTGTTTTTTCCTTTCTGCGCAAACAATGAACAAGAGGATGAGCATAGCGACAGATGCAGCTCTTCATACCACACTTCAGTTTACTTTATATGATATACTAGTTTGGTGTAGTCTATCATTCTCTGCTTTATGGCATGGCTAGTTTATCACGACCAGGTACGTATCCCAGTTCTTTATCAATTACATTGTATGTTAATTTGTATGATTTTTTAGATATTCTAGTTAACAGATAATTATTGTCTGTATATGCAAGAAAGCCTTTCTCTAGGTAAGAGACTGTCACGGTGAAATATTATCACAAAAGAATATTTCCCTGAGGATAGGGGTGTATTATCAGAGAACACTCAAGATTTACCGACATTCCAACCAAAGGGTTTCAATTACAACATACCTTTTCTTTATCTTAATCCAAGATATTAATTATTATATTTCTTGTCTACCTTACGATCAAAACGAAAATAATATATTCATAAAAAGAATAGAACACTATTTTTCTTCTAGCATTTTTCAACACTGTTGCTATAGTGAGTAAGAAAAAAAACGATTCGAAAGAAATTTTTCAGCATCGATAATTACAGGGATATATTTGCTTCTTGTGAACTCGAAAACTATGTATCTCATGTGGCTTTTTACTTTTTTCTTTGGTTATTACGTCAGAATGTAGCCAACTACATTTTTTACTTTTCTATATGTTATTTCCATTGGTGGTAAGCATACCATCATACAATGGGTTACTGTATACTTTATTTATCTATATTTTTCCTCTATCAGGAAAAATCTTTTTGATTAATGATATCTTTACTTCTGCAAAAACGGTAACTATAATCTTTTGCCAACGTGAATATGTATCACTTTAACAAATCATTGGCGAGCAGAAAACCATACCTTGCTCAACGTTAACGTTAAAGTATACATCTACATAGCATAAATATACTATAGTTACACAGCAGATATCAATCAATTATGAAAAGTTCTTTTTACACAACCAATAAGATTGTATTTTTGACCAAGTATTAAACAAAGCGTAACTGAATTGAGTCATTTCGGAACATATATAACAACTATTGTACATACGCTTCTGCGAAGCCGAATCGACCTCGATTTTGTGGACACTCGTACACATTTTACACCTTTGAGTGTGCATACGCTTCACTGGTCATTTGTCTGATGAAGGTGACAGTGTACATATCGTATTAGTCATCGAAACGTCACAGAGAAAATATTATTGGTTGTGTAAAAAGAACTTTTCATAATCCGTACTTACCAACCTGAAGAAAATGATTAGAGATATCAATTAAATTATATCAAATATTGGTAAAACAGTTATGAAACAGTATCCCGGGGAATTTTCACTCATTCAAATTTTCGCCCTTCGCCGTTCAAATCGATATTTGCCAAATGTTAATTTCGCCCATCATAATGAATTACTTTATGTAATATTGTTAATAAATATTCGCTGTAATGATAAATTCGCCCTTTTTATGGGGAGGAAAAAGGCGAAACTTAACATGCAGCAATGTCACACACAGTTGTATAAATAAATTTACCTAAACTATCACAGATATTAGTTCAGTAAGCAATTGATCGGAACAAATGTTATATGAATGCTTGCTATATTTAATCTTACATTGTCTTTTTACAACATGGAATGAACGAAGTAGTCAAACGGAAAGTACTGCATTTGATTACAAAGTTCGTTAAGTTACAATTTAAATGTCGTGTTCAAAGGGAATAGTGACCTAATGTTTCTTAAAAGACTTCATCGGGGAAATGTATTGAAATATTGACATAACTGTGACCACGTCTTGTCCAATGAAAATGCAGACCCTAACAAATTTATAATTATCGATGTCATTGTGTGATCATAAACAGTCATAGCCAAATGCATAAATGTATGCATCCCGTAAAACGCATGCACAAGCTGTCTACATATTTGAAGCAATTGGGTGTGGATTCCACATGGTTTTACATAGCAATTGACGTGATATTTTACGTCGTAATATTGCTGAAAGCACCAGGTATCACCAGACACTTTAATCCTTCGTGGCAACACTTGGTTCATTTCATAATATTGCTGAAAGCACCAGGTATCACCAGACACTTCAATCCTTCGTGGCAACACTTGGTTCATTGTCCACACGACACTATCATGCGTTTTACAAAGCGGCGGCAAAATTGAAAGACGTTGTAAGCGACATATGTTAACCGCTTTGTGTGTCACGGACCACGCACGTGTTTCAGGTTTAAGATAAGGAAGGTCACTTACGACTATCAGATCCAAACAGTTGCTACTTCTATTGCCTATAGTAGTTTACCTGCCGAATCGGAGGTGGTGTCTTCCTTGTCTTCTAATTAGGAGACAATGGAGAAATCAAGAATATACCTGTTGCAGGCGGTGGTCTCCCCAGTCCTCTGTCCTCATTTGACCCTGGCGGTTGCGAGGACGTTGGACCCAAAACAAACAAACAAACACGTTTGTGAAATACATTGATAAATAAGAAAAACAGAAATAAATTTGCCAAGACAATTTCTTACATTCCATTTCTAATTCTAATTAGTGTATCGCATCTTTGTGTCAAATGAATGCAGATTATGTTGTTTTAAAGACGTACATTGTGTTAGATGATTGAACACATTGGCAAAAGTACCGGGAATTAAATTATCAAAACAGAATTCAATTATTATTATTATACCAATACAACTACCAATTGAAAATTCACCATATAGCTAATGATTCAGGCATGAAAATAAAAATGTTAAAATATAAGATCACTCTTTATACAAAAGGGAACTTATGAGAAATCTGAGAGTACAGTCCAGAAAATAATTATCCCAAATATATTTTCATATCAACAATTTCTTCGAAATAGACACAATAATGTCATGATGCAGTGTACATTATTTTTTTATTTATTTTTTTATTTCTGCGTAGTTTAATCACTAGTGTTTAAAATAAAGATCTACCACAAAGGTTGCCATGTGTGTAAAACGACTCTTCGTTAGATATTTTATAAAAAAAGAAAATCTTTAACCATACTTTCAAAAATATTGTTTTTTTTATTTCGCTTTGCTTTGTTAATACGTGTTTTGTTAATTCACATTAAATCCAATCTTTTGCACACAAAAAAAGACTCTGCAGAGCGAACTGATTTTTATATTTGTATTTCTTGTCTTGTTGTGTCTTGCTTTTAAATGTGTTGATTTCATGTTAAGGATCCCTGTAACCACCGCTGGAAAAACAAAAAAAGAACTCCACTGTAGTGTTCGTGCAAACTATAACGCCCCTTTTTAATTTCGTTTTGAATATTGTTCCGTGTTCAAAACACGAAAGAACATGAAAGCTGTGACGGAGAGAGAAACACTTGTATCAGTGAGCAATTTGTATTCATTCATTAGTACTCAACACGAACTTGTATCAAAGTACATGAAGTGAACCAATATTACTATAAAACAAGTAATTTCGGTACCTCAAGCGAACCGTAGTCATAAAAATAATAACTGGGGCGGGGGCTGTTTACTACTTAGCTCCGTTGGTTAGAGTGATAGTTCGAGACTGAGATCCATGATTTGAATCCCTATCTGTTTCGTTGCAAATTTTTGCACACAGAATGACAATGTCTTTATTTATATATTGAGTTTTTTTTATTCCGCTTTCATTTTTTTCATAACATTTCTTCTCAACGTAAGCATGACTCATTTAACAAAGCAATAATTATGCCGTTAAATCACATCTTCTTTTTACCACTTGAAGGCATTGGTTCGGGATCCTTAAAATTTGACAAATAGATATATTCATTCATCAATAATATAAAATCCTATTAATTACGTTTATCTTCATTACAGGATGGAGATTATTGCATGTCGTGTTCTGCAGTCTCATGACTGTTAGTATAATATCTGTAATAGGGTTTATCGTGACATCACAAATGACATTAAAATACAATGTCAAGATGCCTGACATCAACCTGTTTCGATACGTCGTTGATACAAAGAAGGATGAGTTGTCTTCGAGTCAACTTGAAGGGACGAGCACGATCACCATAGAGACGAAAAATGTCACCTCTACGACAAAATCAACTATTCGGAGATTTCAGTCTCAAATGGATGCAGGTTTGGTATTTTGGTATTAGGAGCTTAATAATGTTAAGTGTTTGTTTCGAAGTAACATTAATATCCATGAGAAAGACTCGAATTTTTAAATATCTCGCTTATCTTGAAGCCAGTTTGTCATGGCTTCAACGGCTTCAACAAAAAGAGTTTCGATTGCTTTTAGTTAAATGTTTCATGTTTCAGGTATGAATGAATATCAACGTTTTTTTTCAAAACGTTTGCTTACGTTGTCTTTGCAGAACTAATGTTTATATTTATTTTTAAAAAAATAGCAATATCAAGAGACATTCGTTAATTTTGATTGTTTAATTGTAGTTGGACGTTAAGATATAACCATTATTTGTCTACTAAACTTAATATTGAGATATAAGTGGCTACCAGTATAGTGTATTAATAGATCTACCTGTATATGTTATGTTCTTTGTAGATGATGACGATGTTGCTAGTCGTTTGAAGAAGGAAGTACGTGTGTTGTGCTGGATAATGACATGCCCTGCAAATCTTAAGTATAAGACTGTTTCCGTAAAACGCACGTGGGCCACGCGATGTAACGTGGTTGTATACATCAGCTCAACTACGGACACCAGCTTCCCGACCGTGGGGCTCAACGTCTCCGAGGGACGGGATCATCTTACGGAAAAAAGTATGCAAGCGTTTAAGTACGTGTACGACAAACATTTCAATGACGCTGATTGGTTCTTAAAAGCTGATGACGACACTTACGTTATACTAGAAAACCTTCGTTATTTACTGAAGTCACATTCGCATGAGGAACCTGTTTACTTCGGACATCATTTCAGGGCTCAAGTAAAGCAGGGTTACCACAGTGGAGGGGCGGGGTACGTCTTGAGTAAAGAAGCCCTACGAAGGCTGGCTCTGAAAGGAAACGATACGAATTTGTGCCATAAATCTGGTCTAGACGAAGACGTAGAGATTGGTCGATGTATGGAGAATATTGGAGTCAAAATTGGAAACTCAACGGACGCCTTAGGGCGAACCCGGTTCCATTGCTTCTATCCGTCAATGCATTTATCCGGATTATACCCTTCCTGGTATTCCCGATACGACACACATGGAGGAAAAAAGAAGGTGGGTATGTCGATAAAAACATTTCAGTTCTTTATGTGATGAATGTTATGTTAAATGTTAGCGGATTGATGTAATCATAAGCAGCAGATGTGCACAAGTCATAAGCAGCCAGAAACGTAGAAAACCTAAATTAATTCACAAATATGTATACATAGATGCTATTTCATTTTTCCTGATGAACTCTATATATTTCATGAGTATGACGGAATACTGATATTTTTCACGAGTGAGAAGTACGAATTAATATCTCTATATTCTGCCATAAAAGTGAAATATATATGGTATTCAGCGGAAAAAACTATTGATTCTTCCATTTATTACATTCTTTAAAGTACAAAAAAGTGCGGGATTAAGTAGGGCAATATATGACGTCAAGTTATAATGACGTCACGCTTTACAACAAGGCTTTGTGCCATTTTGAATGGGCTGCTCAAAACAATTATATCGTTTTCTGTCCTTGTTTCGGTAGGATTTGCCCACAAAAAATATCAATTACGTAAGTATGTTAATAACTTTGTGTATGTACCAAAGACGTATAACAATAAGCACTTATTCCACCGTCGTTTATCTGTAATTGAAAAGAAAATTTGCGACATGAAATAGACAATACCATTTTGATTGGTCAATATTAAATCGATACTGGACCTTATATCGTTACATATGAAAATAAAAACATTTCGTATTTCTATTTTTTCAAGTTTTTATCATCCTATTTATTTTTTGATATTTCACTAGCACATGTGTTATAAATAGTCATTGAACTGATTTTTTTTAATTTTCATGCTGGTATGCACGTTAATCGGTTACATCCATATTGAACATGAAGCCCGCTATTTATAGTCCATATATTTACATTTTAACAATAGAACAGTTGTTTCATTTCATTTATTTGTTCTCAAAGAATTTATCTATTTACTGCGTTTGTATATGCGTCGTCCTATTTAACTAAAATTGGCGCCAATAATCAACCGTAGTCATGTGAGCGTGTGACGCATGGACATTTTCCGTTTTATTCGAAGCAAAGCGACAAGACTCTCATTAAACATGGTTAATCAATGACGTCATATGTAAACCACGTGTTACGTCACGAGAGTGTTTGCTTTCATACTCAAATGAAATGCATTTCTGCTAGGAATGTTAATATTGTGGGTTGCAGCGCAAAATTTGATGTAAATATACAACTATAAATCTAATACAAATTATACACATGTGTAACAGCTGTGTAATCAAGAAATTACCTACAATGTACCGAGAGAGATCAAGAAAAAATAGTGAAAATACTCACTAAAATACAAAAACAAAAATTACCTATTTCAAAAAAAACATTTTTTAATTTGTCCGTGCATAAAAAAAACACATATAAGTAAAAATATTATTGCAATAAATCGCCATTTTGTCTATCTACCATCCATGCTTATATTATGTAAACATAACACAGAAACAAAATTCTTATTCATATAATAGTCAATTCACAATAAAATATACTTTTTTGATATCATTCGAAATGTATATACATGTATATACAGATATGGTCATCGAAGTAATTTCAGTGGTAAATTCCGGTACGTATAACTTAAAATTGGTTAATGGGCCAAGGAAGTGATTCCAACAGTGTAGACAATAGGAGGTTATCAAACTTTCGGAGCAATCAACCCTTTATCGAGACACCGTGTTTTTCTTTGTCTCGATAATTGAGCGGATTGCTCCGAAAATTGTACAACCTCATATTGTCTACACTGTATGATATTTGCTAAATCTTCGGAGCAATCCGTTCGATTATCGAGACACCGTATTTTTCTTTGTCTCGATAATGGAGCACATATATCCAAATAGTTGGCAAACTCATACTTGCCTATATATATATGTGTGTGTCACTAGGAGGTAGTGATCGACTTTGTTGCTCATTGAAAAAGAAAACTTACTGAAATTAAGATACACTGTAGATATCCCAAAATAATAGTCATCAATGTATTTCACCTATCTCAATTCTAAATTAATAAGAAGGAACTAAAGTTACATACACTGTCTAAGCATTTATTAGGAAATTTAAATATTCGAGGCAACTTATTAGGGGTGCTCTGCAGCGTCCAAGTTTTCCTTTGGTGTTCTCTGCTAAGCAGACATAGTAATCTTAATTACTATTGATGATGTCGAACACTTAATTAAGGAATGCCACATCCGTTTCAGGAAAGGGATGCAATACTGGAAACTGCTGTTGATATTTTAAATGTATACTATTATCTCATTTTCTCATATAAATGAGTGACAAAGAGCGAAGTGAAGTATTTCTGGCACTATAAGCTTATCACATATTCAGTGGGCAGAAATGATGAAGTCTATCGCAAAATTGATCCCGAAAATGTACTCAGTAATGCATGAACTTACAAAATAACTGCTAAAAAATAGCAGTTCAAGATCAGAAAATAAAGAAGCCATATTTTCACATAATTTTATCAAATGTTCCATGTAAAAAAATAATTATATGATGTAAAGGTTCAATTCTTACAATTCCATACAAATGGGTTTATATCAAATATCAATTAGTATGTATGTAATGCACCAGATAGTCACAATTAGCGATATGAATGTATGACACTGATTTCTAATTAATGATTTACTATTTCTAAAACTTAATTTTAAAATCAAATCACATAAACCATTATGTAATTAATGCAATGTTGCATTAGAGTTATCAAGTTAAAAACATGTATTCAAATTAAATTCATAAGAACATGCCTCCTACAGGTTGTCCAGGGATCGTTTTTGAATAGATATACATGCCAAATCAATGCATCATATGTTGGTTCAAATGCAGATTTCTATCAATGCCTAATGCGTTATCAGTGATTTTTTGTTAATGGTGATGAATGCAACAGCAATATATAACATGCTTATTTAAATGCGAATTGCTATTGATGTTAGATGTATTACCAGTGATCTTTTGTTTTGTTTCAGGGACGTGAGAGTATCAGTGAACACGCCATTTCCTTTCATTATATCACACCCACGGAGATGTATTATCTGGATTTTTTAATTTATCACATACTGCCGTATGGTATATCTTCCGTTGACAAGCATCTCAACTAACGCGCTAGACACAAAAAATCGACATCATACTTTGGAAGTTAATTGGTCTGGACACTTTTGTTTAAGAATTCAGGAGATTTTTTTCTGGATAAATGAAACCGGAATATTACTGTTTTCGTCCTACTTCATGCTAATTTCAGTGCGATTCACCTGGTCTTTAAACAAAAACGATGGCCTTTGATGTAAAAGTTCGGAGAAAATCGTGCATTTTTTTCCAAAACGATCTCTTAAATTACTTGCACTTATATTTTTTTGTATTTATCTAGAATTGTATGCAGCATTAAGATATTCCTTTGAACGATCATAGATATGAGACAACACGAATTACTCTCACACTTGCAATTTCTGCTAGACAGGAACATATGTTAAGCTGAGAATGCATATGAATAATTACACTGTAAAAGCAACTGAAGCTGATAAATCCGTCCTTTCTCGAACAGGTTGCTTGACCCAACCATTTCTTATAGATATATACGTTTAGGCCAGGATTGAAGCTATTTACTTTTTTCATGTAAAAATATCGTCCATGCAAATAAAAGAAGATACGCCATTATACATAAGGATTGCCCTGTACTTTGACGGCGTATACGGTAGCATAAACGCATATGGCAACGGTTACATCCTATGCCATGCGTTAGCACTCCATAAAGAATATGTTTGTTTACAACTGCATTCATGCTCACGTATACGCCGTCAAAATGTAGGCAGCACACCATAGGATATATTCGTTGCCAAAAGCGTTCATGCTACCATAAGCGCCGTCAAAATGAAGGTGTTCTTTATATTTACATCCAAAACGCGTTAAAATGCTTGTACGAAGGAAACGAGATACACAGTCGGAGTAGGTTCCTACGATGGTAACTACGGTAGCAAACATAACAATTTAACGCCAAAATAGAATATTTAAAATGCAGGTAGTTCAGTTATTTTAATGTGCTGATGGATTGAAAAATCTATCAAGTCAGATGATCCTGTCTGAGATGCGAGGAATTTATGTCTGTTACTGTAGACAATATAAGTAAGGTTTAAATGATCAACGGAGAGAGTTTGAAACGAAATCCTTTGTTGGCAGAATAAATCTATTTTCATAACTAAAATCGTTTGTACTTTAATAATTTTTTCCCAATTTGTACTTTCTGCAGTGATAAGTCTATATTTCGCTGGTACTATAAAAGTTATTTAGATATATTTATATAATGAACATGTCACAACTTTTATTTTTGCTGATGTTGAACGATGCGTTCAACATCAGCAAAAACAAAAGTTGACATCTCCGCAAAAATGACACATTTTACTTTAAACGGACACATTTTAATGCAGTCAACTTTTTGCACTTTATCGACTTAAACGTACAAGCGCATTGATGACTTTGTGCGCCCACAAAATATGCAATAGAAAACATGAACTCCAATTGCCGCAACATAATTTAGCGTAATATTTAATCGCTAAAATAAGACTACCGCTAAAATGAGTACGTTTACAGTATGTAATGAAAAGCTTTGACTAGACAATATTTAAAATATTTATTAAAGTACTAGATGTTCTTTTATGTTGATTGATTAGTGTTTTTGTTTTTTGAAGTATTATTTGAAGAATCAGACATTACTTATTGTTATTGCAAACAGTTATGAATATATGCTGTTTCTATTGTTTCATTATACAGTATACAGTTATACCTACTTGAAATTTCAGTAAGTGGTTTATCTTAATTATTCGTTACTGTAACATTGATAAATTAACCAGATTCTTAACCAGAATTCTTTTATCTGACTTCAAAGATGCAAAATCGGAATTTCTTTGATATTGTTTAAGGGACTTCAGATTATTTGAACACAATCGTTTACTCAAAGCTATACTTATCACATTCAGATCAGGTCGTTATTGTCGAATTTTCCGTTCTATTATCTGTTTGACCAGGAACAGTCACTTTGTATAAGAGGTGTTCATATTGTTCTTGTGGTCTCATTGAAATCTCTTCATATATAACTTGTATCAATGTCTGTATTAAAATAGAGTAGGATGAATAACTTACTTATTATCCGGTTCCTACTCTAAAGTCTATATATGCTGAGTTTGATAGATTGATTTTTCTACGTATTGATTGCCAGACAACATCGTTCATGGGGCTCTAAAACATGTTTATTTACTGGTTATGTTAATGTCGTAGTAACTGGCACTTATCAATAAATTATTACCATGGAAACGTGTTTGAGTTGGCTCTTAATTCTGTATTATATTTTGGTTAAAATATCTCTTTCATGTTGACATGTTGCAAATGAGTTAAGGGGATAACTATCTGGAATAATGAGGCTCAGTATGAGATGAGCAGTTTTGCATCCGAAAATTGACCATCAATATTTAACTACATGTGTTAACAACCCAGCCAGAACTGTGTGTGTGTGTGTTTATCTGTTTGTCGGTGGAAAGAAGGAGAAAAGGAGAGTGAGAGAGAACGACAAATGGTAGGTGTATAGAAGATAGAGAGAGTATTATATTGACAAAGCGCGGCAGATATACAGAGACACGGAGACGTAGGTAGAATAGGGAGCATGGATATAATATGTACATGTACAGTACTATGGTACAGGTAAATATGTCTCTCTATTACAGAAAAAAGCTAACGCTTAAAAAACGAAATTATAAATTTTATTGAACATTACATTAGCAATCTTAACATTTAGCATTTGGTGCTGCTGGAAGCTGCCCACGTGTAGCCATAGATGACAGACCTGTTGAAAAAAGGAACATTTGATAGACACATGTTTTATAGAATATAAAATGCAGATATGTCGTAGGCATAACGTAGACATGACGGAGTGTACCGCAGTGTGATAATAATTAAATTTATACTGTAAAACCTCTATATAATGTCGCTTATCTATCACGATAAAATGACCATTGTAAATGCTATGTATCGATATAATGCCCCTTATTCATCATAACAGCTTCGACATAATGATCTTCCTTTATAATCATACAGTAAAACTTTGATAGTATACCCCTGCTTTTCATTGTACAGTGAAACCTCGCTATAATGTCGAATGTTTATCACTTAATATTACATCCTTGATATAATGCCAACTGTTTATGATAAAGAAAAACACTTTGATAATACCCCTCATGTGGTACTTTTGAGTAAATAAAGGTATAATGTTATTGGGTTTTTTATCATCACTAAACAGCAAAACTTTGATATATTTCCACTTAGACTTTTTTGAAATTTGGAAATGTATTTATTATGTGCTATCTACAAGATAGCAGCCACGCCCTTCTGTTGATCAAATATGGATATCTCGTATATATTGTTTATAAAACTGGAGTTGCGATTTTATCATCAACAGTTCAGAGCCAAAAATTCCTATTATAGTAACAAAGAGTTTATGTTAATCAAATCAATGTTCCTGCCGTTAAAATAAACATTTAAAGAATATAAAACACAGTGTCCACGTCCGTCTGTCGATCTGATACAAAGGATACTTTATATATACATTTATTAAAAAAAGGATTAAATGTTCATGTGAAGTAAGTAAATATAGAAAAAATAAGATTTAACGACCGACTTAAAAACTAGCTGCTTTCACCCTTCACAGGGCTCTTCAGGTTTATTTCACAAGAACAACTTCGTGACGTCACAATTACATGTCATCACACTACAATTGTAACGTGAAGTCACGAAGTACACACGATTGGTGGACAAACTAGCGTAAAATTTACTTAGGCCTGTCGAGACTTGGTTTTAGTATTTTGGTCAATTGGTCTTCTTTCTTTTCTCTTAGAAATATATATATACAAAAAGGACCCGTACCATTTTAATGGTTAAATATCAAATATTAAATATTAAAGACATGACACAAAAGTTTTAGCACTTTCACCTCTTTAGAGGTTCATCAGGAGAATAATTCAGGAAAACAAATATTGAAAAGTTCGAGGGAATTTCTTGAAAGGAAAGATAACGTCACATAAAAAAATAACAAATAATTAACGAGATCGTGATATAAAAAAAAAGGACAAATAATATATTCGACCTTTAAAAACTGTAGTAAATTGTAGTTGAAATTGTACCTGCGAGCGCTGATTGGAAGCCGGCATTATAGTCGCAGGTGACTTCGTTCTTGGTGTAATCAGATCGCTTGTCAGCGTAGTTATCGCCCTGGTCTGGGCCTCCAACCAAAGCACCCTTTAGAACATGTGGGTTGGCGCCACCACTGTTGTAGTCGTTCCATCCGCAGTTGGCGCCGGGACAAGAACTTTAAAAAACAGGTATAGGTGGGACCATAGTTAGAATCTGTTTGAGACTAATGTGGTAGGAAAATAATGAAAACTAAACTTATTTTTTCTTTGGCATTTATTTCAGGGCATCACATTTGTCAAGTTAATATCCCTTTGTAATTTATCACTGCTTTTTTCGAAACGTAGCTCAATCATCAACTTGTTTTCATTTTGTTTTTTGGCACATTTAGACGTACTAAGTACAGAATGCGTGCGATCACATTTCCACGCTATAAATACAATGTACAAGTATACGTGTGCACGCTTCCTTATGTATATCACGACCAATTGAAATATGCTGCTTTTAAATTACCATTTATTTCTTTGTGACCAATCTGTTCATAACTTTTTATTACATATGATGAATCTCTGTCGAGAGAACAAAACAAATCTGTCAGTTTTTAATGTGTGCTTATATTGCGGCTAAACATCTCATCAAATAAACCGTTTATCAATATAAGAAAACATTAACCTCTATCATCCATACTGAATACCGGGAAAATTTCGCCTTGTCAAACTTTCGCCCTTCGCCCATAACACAATTTTCGCTGAGTGTTAATATCACCCTTTACATAGAATGAATATGTTCATAATGTTGTTTACTTATGTAGTAGGACGAAGAATAGTGATAAAGATACTGCCGTCGCTGGGCCTCGAACCCGCGACCCTTGGCTCTCCAGCCCGATGCTCTACCGCTGAGCTAACGGGAAATTCTTTACAGCTGCCGCTTGTAAGGTAACGTAATGAATGCACATCTTTTACACTTATATTCACTCTATTGCTAAATTCGCCCTCATAACGGTGGACGAAATAGGCGAAAATCAAACTGAAGCGAAATGTTCCCGGTGTGCAGTATTTACATACGACATAATCATACAATATATACCTTCCTCTGTGGTGGGGTTGTTTGGGGTAATTGCTGCCGAAGCCGATCTCAAAACTCATGTGTTGTCTATTGTCACCAAGGATATAATCGATCTGGGACAGAGCGAATGTCTTATAGTCGTTACCACCGATACCATCCTCGGCCGCCATCAGTGCCACGAAGGCTGCGTTAGCTGTAAAATAAGTAAGTGTCGTATTTATAAATCGGTCCGTGTACTCCATTACCTAAATCAGCCGCCCATATTTATAACCATACCTTATAAGGCTGTTAAAGGAGGGCCTTTATTACCAGCACTGCTCAATTCCTGCAATTACCTCATCTGAACTTAAACGTTGTGTAACTGAAATCGATCATAATTACTATAATATGCAGGTCAGTCATTTGGACGTGCACTTGAACAGACGAGTTTTTGACAAAGCACTTCAGCTGATACAATTTTTCTGGAAGTCGATATCATTTTGAATAAATTTTCAAAAAATGCATAAAGTAATAACTAAATGAATAAAAATATAAATAAATAAATTAACGCATTTACGGCGTTTTCTGATTATGGTGGATAAGAATCGCCATGCAGATTTTAAAAAAGATGCATGAATATGATACTCTACGATCAAAGAAAGGAACAGTTTATTAAATAGATCAATAACGAATAACTTAGTAAGTACCAATTTTATCTGAGACTCATTTCTCGTCTCTTACTTTCAAAAAAAGAGTGAAATCAAGAAGAAATAACGCAGGACGGACATATACAGTTCAGACTGTAAAGAATAATTTTGTAAGAGTTAGTATAGAAGGAAATATATGTATGTGATACAATTTGTTTTCATTTTTTTATTGTCAAGAGCGAAAACAAGTGGTGATAATTCGGTACGTACCAGCGTATCTAAGACTGCCCCACTGATCCCTCCATGCAAGTCCACATGGCGTGTAGGTGATACCACCGCCTGGCTTGTAACTATTGACGAACGATTCCACGTTAGCCTTGTACTTGGCTTCCTTTGTAGCCTCAAACAAGAGCAACTGGAAAACAATTGTAGTCGAACATCGTTTATGTATTACCAAATCTGATATCCTGATTTTCCATTTTATGTATGATGTCTTTTTAAAGTGCTTATCGGACTTTTACATCACACAAAGAAGTAGAAAATAACTTTTCTCAGTCGTAGACTGAAAACACTTGTTGCTGTTTCAAGCATCACATAAATAATGTTTCGATTAAACACCTGTCACATTTGCATCTTCAGATTAAAGAAAAATATTTCAATCCTAAACATTGCGTGTTTAAGTGATATTTTCTTTTAATATAAACACATATATTGAACGATATAAAATTTAACATTCACGCGATTTGCTTTTTGTTCTAGAATGAGTGAAACAAAAGTTATACAGATTAATTCTGACAACAAACATAATACATACATGTACAAAGGACTAACAATCCTTTGATATTTTAGCTTAATATAAAAATACATTATTATAATTTTCATTGTATAGGTCATATTTATTTTGTCTCTTGAGTGCAATATTTTTGCGGTTGATTTTTCCATCAATCTGGTTCTCAAGTTGTTAAAATGTCATTGTGCTCACTACACGCGTTGGGATGTTGTTCCATGTTTAATATGTCAGCAGTCCTCTGTGTAAACGAATTGTATATTTTAATTTAACCTCGAATACTTTTTATAAACAGGTGCTTTGAAGTTATGGCCTGTTGTTGTTGAACCTTCTTAATTGTAAACCAGCCTGCCACTTCTTTGTCATATTTTTCATATTTTATAAACATTTTTCATACAAAAACATATGATCATTTATACATCAATGTTGGTAATATATTTTTGCAAAAGTTCTTCATAAGATTAGTTTATTTAAACAATATTGGGGCAACATACTTGATTTTCATTCCCATTATAAGGTTTAAGTAATGACTTAATACCAGTTTATAGGTATGGATGCCCATTTATTCCATTGTCTCCACTATACTCCCATAATAGAACAAATTGGCTTGAAATCTTCAATACCTATATACTTGTAAATCTTTACCTGATAAGGGACCTTTTTCCGTCAAACAATGAACACGTTCACCGAAGATTTCACTACTGAAATAGATTATCAATGCTTACCTGACATGATATCTTCTTGTCGTCCCAAGACAGTGCCCAGCTGGTATCGGCCTCGTAGAAGCCCTTGGCGTCCTGAAGGTACTTCGCCTCTTGTGTGGCCTTATGAAGCCAGGCGGCTGCCTCACATAATTCGTCGTTGTAGCCTGTCGACCTGATACGCCCAAAAACGATCTTTACTTCATCAATTAACTTAATTATTAGTCAAGACAAATTTTTCATTTGTTTTTCTAAATATGTACAGAAATATGTATTGTTAATATTAAATACAGGTGCTCATATTATTCCAAAGACATGTATAATTGTTTCGCAGTTTTAATTAATAATTTAATGAATCAAATCATCCATCTTTTTTTGTCATCATGATACAATTGATGCATTAAGAAATTTCGTATTTTCCAAATGGCGTTAATTTTTGCCCAAAATGTCTTTGTAACTAATTTAATTACTTGAATAATCTATCTATTTACATTTTTCTCCGACGTATTTCGTCTGTGTTCAAATACTTCTTCCCGATGTATTTTGTCTATGTTCAAACATTTGAATATAACTTAGAAACATTTTTCAGTGCAGTGCCAAAAACAAACCGCGAACATTTAGATCTCTCCAAAATTAACTGATTGACAGTAACGTTTATAAATGCTGACTTACCCGTAATAGCTCTGAGCATCTGGAACACTTTGTGAGTATATTCCCTTGTGATTCTTTGCAAACTCGTACAAGCTCTTGGCAGCAGTCAACAGCTTAGTAGAATAACCGGCATCTATAACATAATACGATATAGGTTCATTCATATTTAGATTTGCCTGAATTAAAAACTTTATTATTTTGTTTTGTTTTGAGTTTCACTGTTGATATACATGAACTTCAACTCATACAAATAGATGCTGCTTCAACACTGAGCTTGTTATTTACCACATAATATAAACATAAATTGAATTAGAATAAAAATAAAATGAAATGTAATATTATTCCTATTCACGTGTCAGTCAGCGCTTGTATAGAACAATCTAGATTGTGTTACCTCTCTCTTTAAAGACAATAGATCCAGCGGCAAGAGCCGCGGCAGTTTCTCCTGCAACGTCACTTCCGGGTTTTCCTGCGTCGACCTTGTAGGATGGTCTGCTCATATGCATGTCTTCTGGTCTTCCCCAGACAGCGTGATCAGTTCCGCCATTGCCAACCTACGAAGAAAACGTCACTTCCGACGTATATTCAGTCTTCCTACGGTTAAATCAGAGGTTTTATTAATATCAGTCATCAATATTGCTGAAATGGACAGTATGTATTTTAGCATCTGAGAGCATCTTGTAAGATGTTTCTTTCATAATTCTATGTAAGATTGATTTCTTTTACCCAAGATAATCTAGAAAGTCGTTCTATCTTTCATTGGTTTGAACAGTCTTCTATCAAGCCTAGCAAGGATTGGTTCCTCTTTCCATTTCTAAAAGAGTTTTACGTCTCTACCTCGAGAAATCTTATCCTATGTCAAAAGTCATCGATTGCCTACGACAATGATGAAAGTCGTTTCTTACCTGAGTCAATATAAACAACTTTCGACATTAACTCAGACAAGTGGCTTTTCAATATCACCATCTCAACGGGACCTCTTTCAAAAGTAGGCTCTCACATACTTTAATAGTCTTCTGTCAGCAAAACATATGCTAAGCTGGCCTGTCACTTGAACTTATGTTATTGGTTGTCACCTATCTGAGCCAACATTAAAAAGTATATGTAGTCTTAACCTATGTAGACAGTCGTCTCGCTTATCCTATGTTACTTAGAGCTAAATTGAAAATCACTTCTCATCTAAATATGTTTTAAAAATTATCTTCATTGGATCATTTTCAGCAAGTATTTGTCATTTGAGCCCATATAAAGGAAGAAGGTCGACTCCACTTCGCTTATGCTGTGCGTATATTGACTATAACTATATAGACACTCGTTTCTTGCCTGTGTCTATGCTGAACCTCGTTTCTCACCTCTGCCTATAATGAAAATCGTCTCTAGACTTAGACTACTTTGAAATCGTCACCCGCCTTTACCCATATTTAAACTCGTCTCGCGCTTGTGCCTATATTGTAACTCTCTATATCTCAACTGAGCCTATATTGAAAATCTTTCCTTTTTTTGGCATATAATGAAGATTATTTTCACCGAAGACTTAATCTTAAGTCATCTTTAGCTTTAGCCTATAGTTGTCATTCACTTAAGCCCACACTAAAGACCGTCTCTCACCTGGGCGTAGTACACATTTTGGCTTGGTTTCCAACACTTCAGGAAGTAGTCGAGTGGCCATTTGAGGCAATCATACATCATTTCCAACTGACCAGCCGCCTCGTACCCATCCTTCCACCTGGAGAGACCCCAGGCCAGAATTGTAGCCGAAGATGCCATCGGAAAGTTGAACTTGACAAGGTCGCCAGCTATTACATGTAACACGATAAAAATCCACTTTTACTATAGTTTATAATTCCTTTTAACTGTATATCATTTTGAAAGCCGTATAAATCTGTAAATGCATAACATTGCATCAATACCCTGGATAGTAATTGGTTATGTCAATATCGACATAAAAACTGTGCAATCAACACTTTGATATTTATTTTAACGACATTTAATAATAGTTTTACGGTACATGATGACTATCCTCTACACCAGACTGGAACATGATAATTGTGTCATAAATCTTCAGTTCATTGTTACGATACTACAGTTGTCATATATGCTTTGAAATTTGGAAATTAATTAGTATTTTCCCTGTGTTTATCTAGTTCATTTTGAAACTGTTGAAATTATTGGCACAAACTACATTTCCTGGTAAGTTATACCTTATAACTGCGGTTCTTAGTAAAAAGAAAAAATCATTTTGTAATTGTTTACTGCACTGTATTTCAAGGAATTTCCCTTGTTGCCAGATCCCTGTCATAAACCCTTCCTGATACTTTTCTGCCTACGAGATAAATAACCTTAATATTACCTATTAAAGTTCATTATAGTAACTGGCACAAAAAGAAGGCGTGTGTATGTTTTGATAATACTGGATTATATATGTTTGTAAAATCTAAATATCAAACTTGACCAATATTGGGCCAGCCATACATTGGATCTGTCAAATATATATTGCTAGACCAATATCGAAATAGTAACCAACTTAACGTGGGTAAAGTTACTGATAAACTGAAAGAAATTAAAACAACAAACAAAGCCGCTTACCGTCATACCAGCCCCCGCTCAAGTCTGTTCCTACGTCACTTCCGTCTCCAGTAGCAGAGTTAGATCGCCATGGGATAGGGTTGTTACCAGGTAGTCTGCCGGATCGCTGAGCGTCGTAGAACAGGATGGACAGCCCGAGTGCATTACCGTAGTCGTATTTGGTCGAAGCTGTATTACAGTTTGATAATAATTCAAGTTTGTCAGACATGACATCCCTATAACAGATGTTTTAGAAATGGCTACTGTGTAGCGCTTTTGTTGTTTTGTTTTTGCCTTTTTTATGACATCAAATTAACCCTCTCCCCTGGCTCCTCCAGTCAGTCCTTTGTGACTGGGGCTGATGAAACTGTTTTATACTCAAGCATGGACTCTCTGCTCAAGTCAACTTTGTTGTAAAACTCGCTAAAATCAAGTAACACAAGTCCCTTCAGATTTTTTCCAAATTATTGACACTATCTGTTTTTTTCTTTCTTTTATTTACATTTGTTTCACCAGAATTAGAAATTGGGCTTGAGCACAGAATCCGAGTTTGAGCATCACAACGATATCATGAATGCTGTCCCGGATTATGTGACAAGTTTCCGTGCCAAGGTGAAGACAATTAAATTCGGTGGCATTAAAACACTACTCATGCTTGTTTCAGTCTCAACTATGGACATAGGACAATAGCTATTTCAAAATCTTCAAAACAACAAAATCAATATTGTCAAAACGTAAAACAAAAAAATGAAATAATATTCTAGGCTAACTCTTTCATTTCACGCTAACAACCAAAGCGATATCATGACCATTATAAAATTGATGTAATAAAATATTTACATCCTACTGAGGAAGAACCACCGGAGATAGGGGTTCCAGATCCACCTGATGATTCACCAGTTCCGGAACTACCACCGCCTGAGGTACCACCAGTACTACCGCTGCTACTTCCGCTTCCGGGAGCATCTACACCTTCTAAAAATACCCGAACGGGCCCCGCGTGGTCCCCAGAGGCTCTCGCTACAAATATGACATCGAGGCTAGATCCGCCTTCAATATCTCCGACCCCAGGAACATTCTGTAATACGTACTCTTGGTTATTGTTAGATTTGGAGATGACCGACGCCTTCCAGATCTGATGTAAGACAAAAAAAAGGTTAGAACACAATTTGTGTGACGTGTGTGACGTCATACAATCCATTTAATAAGTACGAAGCATGTTTGGCACTAAAAAACAATGAATTGGAACTAAATATGTTTAACGTCACAAAAATCAAACAACAAGTATACAACATGTGTGAAGTTTCGCTATTCATAGAATTGGTACACAGTATATGCAACGTCAGACGTCCTGTAGAGTTATTTCACAATTTATTGGAAATCAGACAATGCGCATTTTGTTTTTGTAAAACGAAATCCACGAGAATGATTCGTTTCTCATTAGGATCTCTCTAAGACAACATTACTGATTATAACGGATATTCGAAAACTGATTGCATTAATGTTTACCTCAACTTTATCAACAGGTTTAGAGAACTGTAGATGAGCTTTCCAGCCGTGAAGTGCATGGTCAGGGTGAAGCGTGAACGTTCCCTGGAATCCACCAGGCCACTCATTGGTGATCTGGACGTTTGTGGCGCCCCCTAACGCCAATGTAACTGTCACCGCAAGAACGAGAAGACGCAACATCTTCAACTGAAACAAAGCAATGTATTAAAGAACTATATAAATAGCAAACCACAGCAAACCACTACCTGAGTGGCTTGGTGTCTAGATTGTTATATAGCTTTTGAAAGCCATTTCGATGTTAGGCACGAGTTCCAATCCCCTCGTCTGGTATTTAAAAATTCAAGAAAAATTCTGAAACGTTACCTTTCAAGAACTGTGAAATCCACCTATATATTTTATGCGTATATAGGATGTGATAATTTACAAATTTTCAAGCAGGACTGGATTTAATTATGAAATTAAAGTTCAAAATAAAACATATCGTCTCCTCAGGATTCAAATGATTACAAACAAACAAAAATGAATAAATAAATGATAAATTAATAAATAAATAAAAATGCAATACATTGTAAACAAACGAAAACAGGCCCGAACTATGTCAATAATGACAAGAAAACAACATAAACCTATGAACACTCCGTATGATAGACCAATTTTTCTGTTTGCTCTAAAGAAAGGTAAAACACAATGCAAGGTGTTTTTTCAGCAAAATACGTGGTTACGTCTTATTTAGTAATTGTTCAAATGTACTTGAAATTGCAACAGTCAAACATTTTACATAGGTATTTCTGAACGCTAAGCGTCTTCTGCCTCATCGATAAAACCTATCATGTTAATCTAGATCAAATCAAATTCATGTCATGTCCTCAAAAAAAAAAGGTCGTATCATCAAAACCCCAATATAAACTTTCATAACAAGTTTCATCTTATTTTATAGCTCATGAATATGATAGCTCAGTACATAAGTACACACCAGGAACTCTAATTGACTTAATGCAGCAATAACTAGGGAGACACCAAAACGACACGGGAAGCATCATGAAACGGTACTTACATGAGAGGTGGTGCTTTCAATTAAGTCCGCCACACAATGATCTAAAGGCGCCCCTGGAAATGTTTAAATACCCTGGACAGTCTTATCTGGTCGAATACTTGCGTTACATATTTACAAAGCGTTCATAGTCAGGCGGTAAGTGGAATACCTAGGTCGCCCACCTTATCAGTAGAAATTCACGTCTTTCAAATAGCCTACACACGAATGACCAACTCATCAATTCCCAGGGTCAAATAGTTCATCTAGACCTTAATCAAGCACATAATGTTGTACTTAAACATAATGCACCTAAATTAGGTTATGGCCTTGTAATGTACAGCTCAATGTTCGTAAACACACAATATTTTATCAGAAGCCGCAGACATTTTATTATTACCGTAGATCAATGTAATTGAAAGATAATGTGTCACTCTTTGTTAAATTTCTTTAAACATACTTTACAGACATAGATATGATACTGTTAACCGGATTATTGTTAAGCTTTAACTGAAAAACATTCAAGTTTAGCCACATACTGTACAACATTGTAACGTTGTTATTGTTGTTGTTGTTGTTGTTGTTGTTGTTGTTGATGTTGTCTTGCACCTTCGTTACACCTGCTGAACGCATTTTCTGTGAATGTACTGGGTTCCTCGTTGTTTTAAATATGCATATTTTGCTTTTCGTTACCAAACTTATCTAATTGTATTTCCTTTCTTTTTGTATTAAATCTGCATATTTTGCGGTTTCTTTTTGCTTTTTGCTATGAATACTTGTGAAAGCTTAACTTGCTAAATCGTACAATGTACCACATGACCGTTTTGAGATACTACCTTTGATTTCGTAATATTAGTGTAGTGGGTGTCCCACTAGGCGTTCCATGGCTGCCCCTGTTTAACGCCTCTGATAATGAACAGTGCAGAAAATGATAACGCAATGGTTAATAGGGTTAATGGATTTTTGATATTGTTATTAAAATGATTTTACACGAATTATATCGATTCTTTTAGTAATAGTAAAAGGTTAAAATTGCCTTCTATTGGATATAAGAAGGAATATATATTAAAAAAAAATCGAGAGTAATATGTTTAAGAGACCATTTCTTGTCATGATATTGTTCAAAATATGAATTTATTTTATAGGTTAATTTGAATACGTTAACTGGCCTTTTTTTACATCAAACACGGTAATCTGTTTCTTAAAGCTGCATTTATCAAATCACGGATATCCTATGGTGGCAAACATGCATGTGTCTGAATGTTCTATGATTTAACTAACCAAATAAAGTTCTGGGCCTGTATTAATGAAAGCGTTCTCATGCGTAAGCATGGATTTAATGCTCAAGACTGATTTCTTGTCCTTGTTATAACTTAATAAATAAATATTATTTTCTCAATGATTTGGAAACATGTTAAAGAGATTTAAAGCCACATTCTGTTTTCAATGTTTACATTGGACTTTTTAACACGTTATAAGCGACCTACAAAAAGTTCGTTTGATCACAGAATCCACGCTTGAGATTGTGAACGGTTTCATGAATACGGGCCCTGTTCTTAGTGCTATCAACCGTTGTACTAGTTTGTTCTGCCAATTCTTGTCCGTGTCCTCAACTAGAGAATCGGTTTTTATGTCTGTGTTGTTGACTTATCTACGTAAGTTCGGTTATATGGTTTTCATTCCTATACTTTTTATTGCTGCATTAGAACATTATAAGCACGGATTATTATTAGACCCTTTCATGCCAAGGGGTAAGAATTTCCAAACAGAATGGTTTCAAATTTTACGGCAATTTGAAAATACCGAGGGTGGAATTTCCTAATTTACATCTCTGAGCATGAACAAGTGTTGTTGTTAACCCCCCTCGGTGACATCCTCCAAACAAGTAACAAAGACGTTGGTTTCAGCACATAATCCAAGCTTGAGCATGAGAACGGTTTCATGAATACGGGCCCTGTTCTTAGTGCTATCAACCTTTGTACTAGTTTGTTCTGCCAATTCTTGTCCGTGTGCAGATAAATCAAATCATTTGGTCAACCTTGACTTTTTAACATACTATAATGTACCACGTGACCGTTTTGTGTTGTTGTCTCTGTTTTCGTAATATCGTTGAAGTGGGTGTTTCTTATCTGTCTTTGATGAACACCTGTGATGGTGACGAATACAGAAATTTGTAATATAACGGTCAATGCAGCAATTGTATTTATTGAATGACCATTTCTTTACATAAATTATATGAATTTATTAATTTTTCTTATATGGGCCCAGGAAATAGTCACAGGTCGGCGGTTCTCTCCGGGTATTCCGGTTTCCCTCCAACACCAAAACCTATATGAGGCCAAAAACAGTTACCCTACATGTTCCTTCCCTTATCTTTTCCATTTATCCTAAAACAAAATTTGCAATTATCAAAGAAGTACTGTTAATTTATAGATGACTCGTCTATATAAACCTTATAAAAATATTGAAAAATACATATGATTTACTACCTACCCACCCTTTTTATTTCAAACATGTATAATAACAATATGCAAACACAAAATCAAGTATAATGGGCTAAATTTGGAACAAAGAAAAGATTGACATGAATACCCTTGAAAAAGCTCATGGACAACAAGAATTGGTAATTCGGAAAAGTAGGAGCTTGTCTGCATCAAAGACGCCCACCATTAAAATCTAGGTCAGATCTTAATAATGTCATATATACGTCAAAGGAAGAACCGGGGTAATTTCGTTCTCGTTATTTATGTACTTATTTATTCATTTATTCAATTTGTCATATCAACTTCCGTTTCGGTTTTGCCTCTACATCTTGCCCTTGTGTTGACGCAGTGGTGTATTTTTTTATTTCTACAATTTGTTAAAATAGAAAGTATTATTCTCCTTCCTCCACATAACAACAATCTTGCTTCAAGATATTAACTCTTTAACCAATTTGATGCTATTTTGATGGATTTACATTGTAATAATTATTTTCATCGATATTCTGGTTAATTCATTGTTCGTAGTGTTGTATCCATTCATAAGATAGTTTTTCCAACATTATCTCTGATTTATCATATTTGAGTAATGGATGTCCTCATTCTTTGTATATGAACCTAGAAAATTGATGTTCCGTTCATAGTACTGTGAACGAACCCTTGTGCCAGTTTATGACCTACACACTCTGTGATATAACCTCTGATTTTCTCAGACTGCTGTACTGTGTGCCCTGACGGGTGATTATTATCTGTCCTAGTTTACAGTATTTGATGGTAACCAATACAGAAGATTGGATCGTAATGGTCAATACAACACCACGTTTTGAAACCTGAATATTTATGTCTTTATGAATTTTCATTTAAGTTTATTGCGATCAATATGGAGAATAGGCAAATTAATCAAATTCAGAAAAACTCCTCATGCGAGTTAAGTTTCAGGAGTTTATTCACTGTCGAGGACAGGATCTATTATTCCTAAAATTATCAAACTGAAGGTGTGGATTATTTGCATTTAATGTCTTTTAATTGCCTTCTGACAGATGAAACAAGACATGTACTAAATGTGGTACAGGAAATGGCAACATTTCCGTAGTACCTAGTGCTCTGTTAGGATACATGAATAAATGTAAAAGAAATGTCTATAAAACTGTAATTCAAACTTCTAAACCGATAAAATTGTACAAAAGCTATTTAAGGAAAGATTTACATGGAGATCCTTCCAAATGTTGGAGAAGAATAAGACAAGGTATTCTGGACGGGTAGATGTTCTCTGCTTCATCGACGACACCAATAATGGAAATCTAGGTCAAATCAATGTAATGTCACGTCCTCAACTAGAGAATCGGATGTTGTTGTTTGTTATGTCTGTGTTGTTGACTTTTTGTATCTACGTAAGTTCGGTTATATGGTTTTCTTGCCTATACCTTTTATTGCTACATTAGAACATTATAAGCACGGATTATTATTATACCCTTTCATGCCCAGGGGTAAGAATTTCCAAACAGAATGGTTTCAAATTTTACGGCAATTTGAAAATACCGAGGGTGGAATTTCCTAATTTACATCTCTGAGCATGAACAAGTGTTGTTGTTAACCCCCTCGGTGACATCCTCCAAGCAAGTAACAAAGAAGTTGGTTTCAGCACAGAATCCAAGCTTGAGCATGAGAACGGTTTCATGAATACGGGCCCTGTTCTTAGTGCTATCAACCTTTGTACTAGTTTGTTCTGCCAGTTCTTGTCCGTGTGCAGATAATCAACTCATTTGGTCAACCTTGACTTTTTAACATACCATAATGTACCACGTGACCGTTTTGTGTTATTGTCTCTGTTTTCGTAATATCGTTGAAGTGGGTGTTTCTTATCTGTCTTTGATGAACACCTGTGATGGTGACGAATACAGAAATTTGTAATATAACGGTCAATGCAGCAATTGTTTTTATTAAATGACCATTTCTTTACATAAATTATATGAATTTAATAATTTTTCTGATATGGGCCCAGGAAATAGCCACAGGTCGGCGGTTCTTCTCCGGGTATTCCGGTTTTTCTCCATCACCAAAACCTATATGAGGCCAAAAACAGTTACCTTATATGTTCCTTCCCTTATCTTTTCCATTTACCCTTAAACAATTATCAAAGAAGTACTGTTAATTAATAGATGACTCGTCTATATAAACCTTATAGAAATATTGAAAAATACAATTGATTTCCTACCTACCCACCCTATTTCTTTCAAACATGTTTAATAACATTATGCAAACACAAAATCAAGTATAATGGGCTAAATTTGGAAAAAGAAAAGATTGACATGAAGACACTTGAAAAAGCTCATGGACATCAAGAATTGGTAATTCGGAAAAGTAGGAGCTTGTCTGCATCAAAGACGCCCACCATTAAAATCTAGGTCAGATCCATGTAATGTCATATATACGTCAAAGGAAGAACCGGGGTAATTTCGTTCTCGTTATTTATGTACTTATTTTACTCATTTATTCAATTTGTCATATCAACTTCCGTTTCGGTTTTGCCTCTACATGTTGCCCTTGTGTTGACGCAGTGGTGTATTTTTTTTATTTCTACAATTTGTTAAAATAGAAAGTATTACTCTCCTTCCTCCAAATAACAACGATCTTGCTTCAAAATATTAACT